AAGCATTTGACGTCATGAAACTATATCGTCTCACAGGACATTGACTTCGTGCCCATCTAGTTGGAATGGCTTCATCAATCAAAACCTTTTTTGTGTTAGGATATTTTGCCGTAAGCATAGCCATTGACTTTTCGTACACAACGGGAGAATAAGTGTATGAAACTTTCATATATAAACCAACAGCTTTACACCCGTGACTTCGAATATTTTGTCGAAGGTGGTAGGAACATATGGCATGTACGGCTTCAGGGTAAACAACCTCCATAGCAGACTTTATGCCCTGGTGGCGATCAGAAACAATCACTAAATTTTCCGGACATCCAAAAGTGGATCGAAGCTTTTGGAGAAACCACATCCACGCACTATGACATTCTTTATCGCCGATACCAAATGCCAAAGGAAAAATTTGTTCATTTCCGTCCTTTGTAGTTGCTACAAATAGGATGCCTTTATACTTACCCTTCAAATACGTATTGTCAATCACAATAACGGGCCGACAATAACTGAGGAAGCCTGCAGACGCATGAAAAGAAATGAAAGCATACTCAAACACGTCATCTTTATCGGTCTCAATATATGCCGATTTTCCAGGATTTTCCTTCATCGACATATGAAAATACGCCGGCAAAAGTTCCCAGGACTTCTTGTGATCTCCATAAATGAAGTCGTATGCGGTGTTTTGAGACCTCAAAGCTGTATTGTAGTTGAGCTTAATGCCATGATCACGCTCCATGTCACCCATAATTTCTGCAGGCTTCAATACTCGGCCCTCTGTCAACAACTTCGGCGCGAATAATGCTCCAATGATCTTTGCAGGCAATTGTCGAGGGGCTGAATGACTCAGGTTAACCAAGCATGTATGTGGATGAATAAAGTTTGAAATTTTCCAACTACTTCCAGTCAGTGCATTCGCAGAAAGCAAGAATGGGCAGTTTTTATGCTTGCACACAACCTTTAACCGAGAATTTGAAGATCTAGGTGTTCGGTACTCCACTTTATGCTTCAAATGGTATAACCCAACTTTTACCAACAAATCTTCCTTACTTTGAATGACAACGCCTTTGGCTAATTCACGGTCTATCATTGATGGCTCTTCAGATGAGGGATGAACATCAACATTGTGAAAAATGGCTTCGGGAATCCTCTAACCACTACTCGAACGAGTAGTAGTTTCATTCAAATTGTCTTCTTCAATAGCAACACCTCCAGAAAAATCAAGCTGAGGAACATTGTGGATTGATATACTCTTTTTGTTGCGTAGAATATGCTCATTTAAACCACCCATCATGTTTGAGGGGGACACAACATTGTCGTCGCCATCTTCACCTTCTTCCGAGCCAAGCATATCATCTTCTTCAATAATGAAATCCGAATCGTCATTGCTATCATCCATCTCATTCAATAAATCGTCATTGTAAGGATTATCGTTGATGTTCATCTCATTATTGTAAGCATCACAATAATGCCCGTCATCATCACTTTCATCATTCCCAGTTGAATCCCCATTCAACCCGCTATCCACACCCCAATCGACATGTTCGGGAGATTGACGTGAGGCACCGGGTTGATTTGAGTCCATCTTTCTGGTGGTGTCGGGCACCGGCTTGTAATTGTTCGTCGGATAAGATGTTGATGGTTGACTATGTAAGTTCATTATAGGTGGATACACAACACCATATGGATAGAGAGGTGGGCCCTGAGCAGCAACTAAATTCATAAACCCACCTTGACCCCCGGTATAGCCATACGAAGGGTACGTTGGTACACTTGCCTGATTATACGGACCTGGACTATCTTTCGGTTGTAGTGTAACATAGATAGTAGGTATTGTGAACATGGAAGACACATTTCGCAGATCTGCTTCACAAGAGATACGCCATTTCTCCACCTCTCCATTATCACCGGCCACTAAAAAGTGAAATCGGTAGTCACACATGTTTCTATCTCCACGAGCAATGTCATGAACTCTGTTTATGAAAACTTCATATGATGAGGTCCTAAGACAGAAAAATTTCATCTCTGTCTCACCATTTTTGTATACATCACCATCCCAAAAGCCACTGTGAACAATTCTCACTTTACCAACATCCATCTGAAAATAATAAATAAAAAAAAAAACTTAGTACAAATAATTTCTTCAGCTTTTTTTTTCCTTCAAATGTGTTTGAACAAAAATATATATGAATACAAGACATTTTTTTTTTTTTTGGGACATATTTTCTTGTTCAAGAAACAGTTATTTCTTCAAGAAATAGTTCTTTTCGCGCAAGAAACGGTTTCTTGACAAGAAACTAACTTCTTCAGCAAGAAAATAGTTTCTTTAACAAGAAACTGGTTTCTTGTTCAAGAAACCCGTTTTTGCTCAAAAAACCAGTTTCTTGACCAACAAATTGAGGTTTTGTTCAAAAAATTGTTTTTTTGTTCAAGAAATTATTTTTTATTCAACAAACCATTAATTCATCTCCTAAACTCCAAAAAAAAAGGCTCAAGTAACAATACAACAAAAGTAATGAACTCCAAAACACAACCCCTTTTTTTAAAGCACAAAAATCCTATTTTTTTCACTCCAAAAAAATGTGAGTTCAACAAAATAAAATGTTACTACACAAAAATCAATAATTTTGGGAACAAAAATAATGAATGTGTTCAAAAAAAAAAATTATGTAACATAATCAAAAAAACAAATTTAGGTTTATGTTCATGTACCCTTTTTCTTCTCAAAAAGGGATTCACTTGGTAATCTTGGAGATATATCTGAAAAGAGATCACTTTTAAGTGATTTTTGGGATGAGATGAGATTTTTTTTTTTTCTGTTTACAGCGGCTTTGCCGCAGAAGAATGGAGGAGAGAGAGATCGGCGTGCGTAATGTACAGAGCCCGAGAGACTCTTTTTTCTTTTTTTTTTTTAATTTGTTTGGTAAAACATTAATAAGGGCATAATGGTACTTTTGCCTACCAAAATAGCTAGATTTTATGTTTCTTACAAAGATGGCTATATTTCATCTACTACTTCAAAAAAGTGCTATATATCTCGGGCTCTGTTGTTATTATCCCATGGCTTTTACAACTATAAATATTTTATTCCGTAAAATGCAGTATTAATCATAACTTGTGTTGGAATTGCATTTTATTTTTGTGAGGGAAAAGTTCCATTGATATTTTTGTTAGAATCCGTTGGAAAATTTAATACCATTAAAATATCTAGTGAAATTGTTGGTAGACTTTTGTTAGAATTTTATCATTTTTATAGTATTGCATATGGTTAACATATAATAATTAACATATTTCTTAGTAATGACCAACCCAAAAAACTTTGAACTGAATTATTTCAAGGATATTTGACAATATTTGTCTCTAAAAACCGTATTTGAATATGAAATATTGTATTAGAACCGGGGGAAGAGGTGGTGCGATCTCACTAGATGAAGCTCACACTACAAGAGGATGAACCTAGATGTTTATATACTAGACTCATTTTCTCTATAAAATCAATGTGAGACAACTCACAAGTGATATTCCAACACGCCCCTCGCTTGTGAGTCCTTCGTAAGCCCAAATTCACAGAGCAGGCCTGGTATAGAGAGTCATTGCATGTCCTAGGACATGCCCACTCTGATACCATATTAGAACCGAGGGAAGATGGTGTGGTCCCACCAAGTAAAGTGCATCATAAGCGGGTGAACCTAGATGCACCTTAGTGAGGTTCCATACCAAAACCAATTGGTGATGTGTGGAGTAGCCCACTAGGCTTATATATACTAGGCTAAATTCTCTATAGAATCAATGTGAGACAATTCAGAAGTGATATTCCATCATATTGCAACATTTTTTGAACAATTTTGCAGAATGCGATATTAAAAATTAAAAAATACATTAACAGTACAAAAATGAGTTATAAACCAAAAACTACGCAATTTCAAATCAAAATAGAAAAATAAACTACAAATGAATCATTCAGTCTCCGCCGGTGGTTGGGATGGGATCGTCGGTCGGGAGTTGGGGAGAAAGGAGTTGTCCTCTAGTGTTGGTCTAGGGGTTGCCATTCGGGAGAAGAGTTTGGTCCGATTGAAGTTCCAATTAGCCCCTTGCTTGAGTTTTTGTGTAACGCCCTGTTTTAATTTAAAGAGTTTATTTAATTTATTTATAAGAATCGGAGTAAATTTTTCGCAAAATATCAATTTAAAAACTTTAAACCTTAACAGGCGCTACTTAACTACTAATGTAACACCCCACTTTGATTTTAAAGAAATCCCGAGCTTTCTAAAAATCACAACAGCATTTTTCGAATTCATTTTCGAAATCAAGGGCATTATCAAAACATTCACTTAGTCCAAGTCTTATCTGGAACCACAGGGATTCATTACCCGATTTTTACAAGGATTTCATTAACCCAACTCACAACTCATAACATAAATCTCAACTTAATCAAAAAGCATGCATAGTCGCAATCTCATAAATCCAAGTAACATGAGTATTTCAAAAACCAACAATTCCAAAAAAAACATAAGTTTCAAAAACAGTTTTCAACATGTTTCATATGTCTCAACATAGTTCATAAAATGCGGATAACAAATAAATAAAGACCACCCACTCGTCTTGCCTCGTCACCCCCAACTGCTTAACCTGCATCCATGAAGAGCACGTGGGAGTGAACACAAATGATAACGTAGTGCTCACAACTATGCACATAAACAATAGAATGTTAGGAAAGTATGGTCGCAGTATGAACATAAATCAATCATCATCATGTCTCATCTCCTAACAATATCACAACAATAATTCATTCATGTGACAATCTATCATTAGCCGCGGAAAGGGGATGCATAAACCCTAACGACGGGAGTGCGTGCCACGCAAGGACACGGCCTTTCATTAGGTCTTAAGGAGACTTGCCTCGCAAGGGCAACCGTACCGTAACTCGACGGGGACAACCGTACCAACGGCCGTAACAACTCACATCAGTAGGTCACATGGTTCACATGCATATATTGATCATACCAACTAAACACTTAAACACATATCGCATATAAAATTTTATAAATAAACCCATCTAGATTCGGAATTGAAAACAACAAAAACAGAAGAGACGCATGTTGAGGCTTGACTCCTCAAACACCTACATTGAGGCAAGATCCTACAATCAATATCTACTCTGATTAAAACTGAAAACACAAAACTGACTTAATCGAACTTGATTCGACTAAGCTGTTCGTGAAGTCCTGTGGACGTTGGAACTCTAGGACTTAGACTCGAACAACCAAACACGGGAGTTCACGTAAATATCACATAAAAGATAGTTCAAACAAGTCACAACCACAACAAGAAATCTGGTTTATAGCTTTTGACACAAGAACTACATTTTTTTTAAAAAAAAAAATAGAAATTGATATATCACACAATTAGGTTGAGATAGTTTCTGAATGGGTTAAGTTCTGAAACTTTAACATAAACTCCTACTCACTGGACTTAGTAAAACCACCAAGTTTCAGCCCCCAACTCATTATATACTTTTATAAAATTCATACAAGTTAACAGCAAAAACAAACATAAATTCACATCCAGACCTAATGTACGATTCAAGAGTTGACATTTTAACACCATAAACTACAACATGTGAATGACAACATAAAAAATTTAGCCATTGACATCAACTACACGAATTTTAAAAATTCATACAAGTTTCTGCAGCTTTTGAATTTTAACTAAAAATGAAATAATTTGAACTCCAAAAATTCTAATCTTTTTACAGCGTGAAACTCCACATAAAACAAGCACTTCAGCCAAATATCAGAATTTTTCAGCAACTGACCAATTTATGATAATTAAAACAACTTTCAGCAAAATACTTAAATAAATTATTTACCCTATCAAACTTAGTCCAAAAAATCTAATATTTTTGCACAACGTATAAACATGACAGAGGCATAACATACTCAAATTTCAGTATAATTGAAGCACAGACCAATTTATTATGCATTTAACATGTTTCTACCCAGAAATCACTTTAATTATTTAAAATAGTTACAGACCTCATAAAATCATGAAATTTTTACACGAGCTATAAAATTAACAGAAGCAGATACA